GATGACCAGACCGACACGTCGGGCGTCATGGAGGCCAGGCTCCAGCCATGGCTGGCAGAATGCTTGGGTGGATTCAATGGTGGAGTGCGGCGTGCAGACAATGAATGCATCATCGGCATCTTCAATCTCACCACACAGGGTGTGCTTTCAGCCGACAAGTTGCACTTCGCACTCCAGCAGCTCACTACTCTCAGCCATGCTTACCCCAGGACATTTGTGGGCTTGGTGGTCATGCCAAACCGAACTGGAGATTTGAAGACCAATGGTTGTAAGCCGTGACCTTGGTTTTTCTTCTCCAAGAATGACTACAAGTTTATGTGTTAAGATTGGCTGTTAACCTAAGACCAAGATTAAAGACAATCTGATTACCAGCCCAGGTCCGAGGTGAAGACTGAGGATTCTGACCAGGAGCAGGATGAAGATGCCACTGCAGGCCAAACCTCATGTGTCCATGCAAAAGCCGGTTTTCATAGAGGAGGTTTTAAACTGTTAAGAGTGTCAGTCAGTCAGGTAAGTTAAGAATCTCAATCCTAGTGCTCAGAGGGCTCAAACTTGTCATTGTGCCAGAAAGGTGGAAAAGACAACGAATGCACCGATGATGACGAGGATGATTCGAAAGATGCTGTGGCAGAGAGCATTCTCAGGGACTTTAACTACAAGCTTCGGTGCATGATGATGGAAAGGAACCGCAAGTTGACTGCAACTTGGACAAATGATAACTGTACCAAAATAAGTGAAAACATCTTACAATAAAGTCCACATGCTGTCAGCTCTTCATGGCCGTTGGAAATGGGATGTCCAACAGTTAGTCCAGATTTGGCGGAATATCTGAACCCCGGCAACCAGAAAACTGACACAATGGGATATCAAACAATACAAGTCTAAGAGGAGATGCAGGGGAATATCTTGAACCCTTGCAACCATCAAACCATCAAATAGAACAATTGGGAGTGACACCTCTTGTAACAGTCAAGGTAAAAACAGTCATGGCCTCCTTCGAGCCCAGCTCAGTCTATGGCAACAGAGTGGCATGGCAGGAGCTTGTCTTGGTCACCTCGCAGGATGGCAAAAACATCTTTCACCGTACCCCGTTGTGGCGTCAAGGATTGATCAGTGACATCTTGATGCTGCCCAGGGGAGAGATGGTAAAGCCACCGCGAGCAGAGGGTGCCAAATATGGTGGCGAAGGTCGCTTTACAAAAGTGCAAGAGATGAAGCAGGCTGTGTTGTTCTCTAAACATGGTCCCCCTAAACTCTAAACCATGTTCAATGTGTTTACCTTAGACTAATGAATAAACTGACATTTACAAAAAGGAGAAGCTTTGTCACCCCATTTCCTTAATTCCCAGCTTCCTCCCTGTTTGCAGTTCTGCGGTGGCACCTCCTTCATCTCCAAGATTGTGGAGTCCTTGCAGCCAAGCAGTGAAACGCCAACAGTGCTTTTGGACCTTTTTGGGTTTGACGGGTGGCCTGGAACCTATGCCATTGCCCAGTCAGCACGAGGCCTGGGGTGGGCAAACATGATTTTAGGTCTAATATCTAAACATCAAATTGCTTGATAGCAAGGGCTGGCACAAAAGAAATTGATTGCAAAAGCCCTTTAGACCTTAGAGGTTCACATTTAGAATCGGCATCTTAAAGCTTGGGGGCCTTAAAACCCAATCTTTGGGATTTGAACCCTACAGTATCTATGGGGCTGGGTCAAATAGTAAGATTCAGGGGACAACAGACTTTCTATTAACCATCTATTTCTAGGGATGATCCTGAGGGAAAAAGGTGGCATGTGCTACTGTGTGCCATTCCAAAGCGGAAGCTGGCTTCGTGAGTGGAACTTTGAGCTCCAAGCTGTTTGGGATGGCTCGCAATGCTGAGTACAAGATTGCTGGGTTTCCTGATTTCTCTGGCGCCCTGACAGACCTGAAGCAGTTCCAGCGCTCTCCTCAACCGACCTATGAGGTGACAGTTCCATGTGGAAATGGCGTTTTGGTGGTCAAGGAGTCCCTGATCCAGTTTTGGACTGTCAAGCACCCTGACTTTTCTGACGCCATGACAGCTCTTTTGGAGCAGAACAACAAGGAGTTCAACCCTGATTGCATCAAGCGTGGTGCTGAAAGTGAAGAAGTTCCTTAAGGGGAGGAAGATAGCCCTCCAACCAAACGGTTGCGCCTATCTGCAGCATCAACACTGGCAGATCTGGAGAACAAATGTCCCGACAGGACCCGGGTTCAAAAGACAACATAGAACCCCAAGACAGCCACTAAAATAAAATTAAATCTAAAGACATTTTTTTACTTTTCCAGCCCAGCAGGATCACTTTGAATGCTGGAAGTTTTTCGCTCCACCTCGATGAAGCTGAAGGGCAGTTGTGGATTGGTTGTTCGGTGGCGCCCTACACTGTCCCCATGAACACAGAGCTGTTTGGATTTGGCAGTGGTGATTTCGCCAAAGGATCTGAAGCGCAAGATCTGATGACGGCTGATGGCCGGTGGCTTCGCTACTTCATGGACACGCCAGAGTCGCTGGTCATCTTGGAGAAACAGCGCAAGACCCCAGATCATTTGGAAAACGCAGCCTTTTTCAACAAGGACCATGGTTCACAATCTTGTGTTTGGGAGCTTTAAGAGCATTGTAAAATCCCATCCCACCAAAATGCTCATTGCTATTTATAATAAGTCTATGTCCCCCTAAAACTAAAATTGGTTGACGATCCACTATCTTTTCTGTCTGTAATGGGGATGTTGTTTTTTGTTGTTGCTGGCATTAAAAATGTTTTGTTTTTCAAACCTTGGGGCCCAGCAAGAAGCCATAGATTAAGTTGACGCATCGCGCCCGTGTAGGTGATGACCCTCAACAACTTGCTCAAGTCTTTGGAGGATGCTGCCGAGGTTGGTGTGCAACTGGCTGAACACCAGCTCAGCAAAGATGATGCTGGGAACTTTAAGGTCAAACCCATTGACAGCGTGTGCTTCGCTCTGGATGCAGTGAGGCCCAGAAAGAAGCGCTCCAAGGTGCTTGGGTTAAAAACCATGATGTGTTCTGGGTTTATGCTATAGATGGAGCATTTATTATGTTAAAGAATGCGTTATTTTGGATTTAGATACAATATACAAAATCATCTGGAGCATTTGGCCCTGATCTGACTTTTAACGATACCTTGCCTGACAGGCAGCCAATGCTCTGACATTCGGTGCGAAGATGGACTTGGCAAAGGTCCGGATTTCACACAACGTGACTATCATTTGGAGGATGAGGCCAGCGTGAACCTGATTGTTTAAGTTACCAACTAGTACAACAACATCTTACCACCGACATCTTATCACTTAGTATTAGGATGAAAAGAACTCTTATTACATTCAGGTCCATCATACCATTTATTTTCATTAAATCCAACCATGAGCCCAACAACACGCTCCCACTGATGTCCTGCAGGTTGAATCTGCTAGTATTAGGGTGAAAAGAACTTATTGCATTCAGGTCCATCATACCATTTTTTTCATTAAATCCAACGGTACAGGATTTGACCAATATCCATTCCTACAACCATGAGTCCAACAATATGCTCCCACTGATGTCCTGAAGTTTGAATCTGCTAGTCTTAGGATGAAAAGAATTCTTATTGCATTCAGGTCCATCATACCATTTATTTTCAAAAAATCCAATGGTACAGGATTTGACCCAAATCCATTCCTACAACCATGGGCCCAACAATACGCTCCCACTGATGTCCTGCAGGTTGAACATGGATTCTTCCAACTCATCGGTGAACATGACGTTGGTACCTGTGCGGCCGTGCGCTGCAACATCAGGAGCCGTGAGCTTGAAGCCTGATGAGGTCTTCCAATTTATTTAGTTGAATGCTGGCTCGGGTTGGATCGGCTGGCTGATCTCTACTGGATTGAATTTATTTCCTCATCACTCCTTACTAGTCCTCTTCCATCCTCTTCACTCCAAGCTGTGCAAGTTGTTTCTTGAGGGATGCATCCCGGATGCCGCCTGATGCCAGTAGATCAGCAAAGCATTTTGAGAACACGAAAGAACATGTTTAAGGGGAGATGCCCTACTGCAGCGGGGAAACACCTGCCAAAGACTTTTCAGGGAGTCAGAGGCCATACTTGCCACTTTAAAATAAAAAGAATTCCACCTTCCCATGTCCAGCCTTCTGGTCAACTGAAGTCAGTTGTTTTTGACGCTGGCCTTTGCAGAATATGGGGTGAGAGGTCTATCAGGTGAAGGCCGCTGAAACCAGGGTGAACGCTGGCGACTGAGAAGAAAAAAAACTGACTTGTCCGAATCCCCTCGGCCCTATGCATGCTACAGACTCTCTCCCTTTCCTCTATCCATGCTATAAAAACGATACTGTATTTATTCCTTATTGTGTGAACCATGTAATGTAAATCAAGTTCAGACACAAGATATTATCTTGTGTCTGAGCTTGATTAATTATTATTATGATAAGAAGTAGTAACTTTTAACCTTATATAATTCATTGAGTGCAAATGGTATGTGAATAAAATCTCCTCAGAAAGAAATTCTCAACATCTCTCAGCCGTCGCTGTTTGGAAAAGCCTGTGGATTCTCTGAACAGTCTCCTCTTTGATCCTGTTTGAAGGTTCAAGTCTAAGCCCTGTGCTGGGGATCCGCGCACCAGCCAGGGCCAGGGCCATGAGGCCTGTTGTGGGCAGGTCAGGAAATGTGCTGTCCCGCCCTTCTTTTTCCATGGCCGACTACCAGATGATTCTCGAAAACCAAGGAGTTCCCAAAGCCGCTCCAGCACCACGTCCCTCTCCCGTGGCTACCTCATCTACATCTACAGCTAGGGCAGGAGGACTGAGACTGATGACATAGTTTTCAAACCATTGCATTCTGACTGAGATCTCCCATGGCTTTGTAATGATATTTATGAGATTCCTGAACACTCGAAGATTGGAAACCAATCAATCTTTTAAGGCATATATTGTTACAGTCTGTTTGGAGCAGGAGCTACACTGCAACGCTGTGACATGGAGACTTCTGGTTCGTCTTCGGTTGAGAAGTCAGAGGAGAAGGCCAATGATTCTGAAGAGAAGCCTAAAGATGGAGAACCTGAAGCACCTGACATGCCCATGAAACGCCCTGCTGCCAAAGCGACTGCTAAGCCAAAGAAGAAAAAAGAAGATGATTCCGAAGTGACCCGCCTTGGAAAGTGCAAGGGCAATACCGATGACGACGACGACGCTGATGCTGGACCTGCAGAAACATCCAAGCGCTCAAAGAGGAGGAAGAAGGACAAGGATGACGAGACAAAGACCCGAGGCAAGAGCAAGAAAGACAAGGATAGGAAAGGAAGTAGAGGTAGAAGAGAGAAGCGGTCTGGGAAAAAGCATGCTGATGGCTCATCTACTACCTCTAGCGGTGAGTCTGACCCCGGTGAAACTGATACCAATGGACAGGTTAGAGTTACTGAGGACATGCTGGCACAAGCCATGAAGCGTGCAAAGGATGCGCAAGATAGAGCCGAGGGACGCAAGGTGGGTTTTTGTCGGTTGAACATTCCTACCATTTAAGGTTGCCATGCTGCTTGATCTTCTTCCTATACTGCTTCCCACTTGGATCCACTCTTCAACTCCTACCTTCTTCTACCCAAGATCAAACGTGGTTTCATATTATCTGAGCAGCTGTAATTCAGCATGTTGCATAACGTGAGCATAAGCACTGCCCCACATAATAATAATTTCATATTATTTGAATTTTTGCTCCTGCAGGTGCCAATGGAGAACCTTGAGGAAGGCGTTGGTGTGGTCACTTCCAACGTTTCCAACAAGGACTGTTTCGCTGCAAGTGTTGTGGGTGTTGTCATGTTTCTCTCTCTCTCTCTGTGCAAGATCCCATATTGTTGTCATTGTGTGTTTCTTTCCGCTAAGATCCCATACTGTTGTCGTTTTGTTCAAGCAACATGGCGGCACACATGGCGGCACCAATGGGTGAGTGGCGCTGGCTGTTGGCATTCGTGCCTTACATACAGCCTGAGGCCAATGTGGAAGCCGCAGGCGCCATACAGGGACCAGGGACCTGAATTGATGTGTGAAATTATCCCCACATCTTTAAGTTCAATGTATGTATTTCCATAGGCACTTGCATACCCTGAGGGTTGGTTCACCTTGCATACATTAGCATTAAATTACCATCCACACCTTCATCTGCAGGTGAAACGGGAGCTACGCCCATGGCAACTACGCCAACGGCAACTACGCCCATGGCAACTACGCCCATGACAATGCCCAAGGCAACTATGCCCATGGCAGCTAAGCCCATGGAAGCTACGCCCATGGCAGCTACGCCCATGACAATGCCCACGGCAGCTACGCCCATGGCAGCTACGCCCATGGCAACTACGCCCATGGCAACTACGCCCACCATGCCCATGGCAGCTACGCCCATGGCAGCTACGCCCATGCCAATGCCCACGGCAGCTACGCCCATGGCAGCTACGCCCATGGCAACTACGCCCATGGCAACTGAGCCTATGGCAGCTACGCCCATGCCAATGCCCACGGCAGCTACGCCCATGGCAGCTATGCCCAAGGCAACTACGCCCATGGCAACTGAGCCTATGGCAGCTATGCCCATGACAATGCCCATGGCAACTGCGTTTGTGGCAACTACGCCAAAAGGTGGCCCACCGCAACCTCCTGTGGCTGCACCATATGGACCTCCACCTGGACAACCTGTGATGCCTGTCCCACCTGGACGTGTCGAGCCACCTGAACGTGTCGAGCGACCTGGACGTGTCGAGCCACCTGGAGGACATGTCGAGCCACCTGGACCTGTCAAGCCCCATGTTGTCCCTGCACTTTTCCGTGGGCCTGCTGTGCATGCACCGCCTGCTCAGTATGAGATGACTGGTGAGTACATCGACGTCCTCTGCGAGCCCGATGCCGAGACAACAACATCATCCTCATGGCGAGGATTAGCAGATGCAGAGGCAACAAAAAGACGAAAGCTGGTCGAGAAGGCCGCCATCAAGCCGAAAGCAATGCCCAAACAAGAGCGTGACTACAATTCAGAGCCTGAGTACAAACCAGAGCCTGAGTACAAACCAGAGCCTGAGTACAGTGACTACTACAATGGCAACGAACCAGAGCCTGAGTACAAACCAGAGCCTGAGTACAGTGACTACTACAATGGCAACGAGGGCTACAACAAGCGGTGGGAAGGGACATGGACTGAGAAGAGGCAATGGAAGAGTGAGACAGAGGAGAGCTGGAGCTCCTATTGGTAATTTTTTCAATGTTAGGAGTGGCCTCAACAAAAAATGGTCTTAAAATTCTACTCCATATGTGTTGCTCAACACCTCACTCAGTCTTAAATTTCTACTCAATATGTGTTGCTTTCGTTGATGGGTCCCCCTGACACCCGGCATTTTGTGGCCTGGACAAGCAAAGTAGGCTGAAGCCCGCCTGCAGCAGTGGAAAAAGAATGTGCTGATCGGCTGTCCATTGCTTCTCTTTTTCTCTAACGATTTTCCTTCTCTCTGATGTTTTCTCTGTTGATCAATGTTCTGTCTGTCACACAGTAAAGATGAATTTACACAGTTTGCATCAAAACGCTACTGCAGGACACTGACAAGATCATGGAGCCCATTGGGGTGGAGGCAATTTGGTGGGGTGCAAACATGAAATTGAAACATGTTGCATGGCACAACAATCCACATGAGGCCTTTGTCTCGACCAGCTTCCGCAAAGAGCATGTCATTCAATGTGAAAATAAATGTTTACCAAGTAAAATTTACTTGGTAAACATTTATTTTCACACCCCATCAACCTCAGAAGTTTCATTCTTGCCAGGAAAATCATCTGCAAGACATGGATGTGAAAGCGGCCGAGATGGAGGACAGGCGAGCATGTCCCTGACTGCACAATATGGGGTTTCCTAAAATAGAGGTACCCAAAAATGGACGGTTTATAATGGTTTATACTCGATTTAAGGGTACTTTCATTTTAGGAAACCCCCTCAACAAATATTTATATAATATAAATATAGGAGGATGGTAGGCAGAAGAAATCATAGGCAACACATCACACATAATTTGTCCATATCTGTCTTGAAGTAATTTGGCAAAAACATAATGAGTAAGTAATAAGGCTGAAAGCAAGAGAGGGTGCCATCTTCTTATTGTGATAGATGGCTTTTAAGCTATTATTCTGATACTTGATGATGGTATATTCGAAGGTGAATGGACCACCTTCCCATTTTGCTATCAGCTATACAAACCTTCTTCCTAGTCCAATCCCAGGACACTTGCAAGGAGCAGCTGGAGGAGAAGGAGAAAGGTATGGACGAGAAGCCTGCCTATTCCCTTGAGGTGTTGTCCAAACACACGGAACTTGTGCCTACCTGAGCATTTTCGGTCGCTGACGCTCTCTTAAAATATCTTGCTGGCATTCTGTGACGGTTATGGGCTGTTGAGTAAATAACTTCCTCTGCCTTTCAAGTCAGGATTCACCTCTTGGCAGACCTGAGGGTCGCGTTCAGCATCCCCCTGAAGTTTCTTGCCATATTTAATATCTCCCTTTGTTTCATTTCATGTAGTTAAGCTGTGAGTTTCTGATCCTGCAAGCCAGCTGGCATTTTTATTCTTCCAGGTTCCTCCATCTCCTGCAGTAACTGTTTGCTCCGATGCAGAGTCCGCTGAGCTGTCTGGTCCTAAGTAGAGTGCCTGTCTGCGGTTAACAACTATTGAACGATGGCTGTCCTCTCTCCTTCCTCTCCTTCCTCTCCTTCCTCTCCTCTCCTCTCCTCTCTCCTTGGTTTCTGCTGAGGCCACCAAGCCAAGCAGCTCGTCCTACAGCAAAGTGCGCAGCAAAAAGCAAGGCAAAGAGCAAAGGACGCCCCCAGACCAGAGACCTAGGCAATGTTTCTCCCAAAGCAGAAACCCCTGGCCAAAAAAAAGCAAGGCCCAAGACCGGGGCCCCCAAAGCAAAAGCAAAAGTGTCCTGTAAGGGGAAGGCAAGCCCCAAAGCGAAGCCTTCTACAGTTGCTGCAAAAAAGAAACCCAAAGTGATGCCGAAAAAGGTAGCAACTGCCAAACCCAAAGCAACGCCAAAAAAGAAGGCGAAGGAGTTGAAGCAAGATGGAAACAACATCTACTCTAGAGCTTACCACAAGGCAAAACGTGAGGGCAGTGGAAAAGAAGAGGCTGGGTTATTTTTCAAAAAACAACCATGGCAGTCTGACTTTCATGCTGCAAATCATATTAAGTCAGTTTTTTTTACTTGCTCCAAATGTGTCACAGGCCAAACGTCTTGGACGTGAAGCTTGCAGGAAGGCGCTTGAGATTGCCTGAGCGCCTGGCAGTTGGCATTGGCCAATCAACACTTCAGCGATCTTGAGTCTTGAGGGGAAAAATAACAGCGGCAGTTGGCGGAAGGCAGCGATCCCAATCATGATTCACAATTCCTGGCCCAGGCCAAAACCTATAGAGACATGCACATCTAAACGGAGAAAGGGAGTGATAGAGAACAAGGCAGGTAGGCAATTAGTTTTAGAGTTCTGGTTGCTATTGGGCAAAGTTCTACTTGAAGTGGGCCTCCCTTTAGTGGATTACCTGGTGAATTTAATGGTGCTTTTTTAATGAAGTTGAAATGGCTATCCGAAGTTTCTTGATGGCAAGTCTACACGTGGTGTCCAAATTATGATGGTCAATAGTGGATTACCTGGTGAATTCGATGATGATGTTTAATGAAGTTGAAATGGCTATCTGAAGCCTACAGGTGGTGTCCAAATTATGATGGTTAATATAGGATTATTTGGTGAATTTAATGGTTATTTTCAATGAAGTTGAAATTGTTATCTGAAGTTTCTTGATGGCAAACCTACATGTGGCGTCCAAATTATGATGGTTAATAGTGGATTATCTGGTCAATTTAATGTGTTTTTTAATGAAGTTGAAATTGTTATCTGAAGTTTCTTGATGGCAAGCCTACACGTGGCGTCCAAATTATGATGGTTAATAGTGGGTTTTCTGGTGAGTTCAATGGTGATTTTTAATGAAATGGCAATGGCTATTTGAAGTTTCTGGCAAGCCTACACGTGGTGTCCAAATTATGATGGTTAATAGATGTTAATAGTGGGTTATCTGGTGAATTTAATGGTGATGTTTAATGAAGTTGAAATGGCTATCTGAAGTTTCTTGATGGCAAGTCTACACGTGGTGTCCAAATTTTGATGGTTAATAGTGGATTTAATGGTGAATTTAATTGTTTTTTTAATGAAGTTGAAATGACTATTCGATTTTTTTTTGATGTCAAGTCTACACGTGGTGTCCAAATTATGATGGTTAATAGTGGATTACCTGGTGAATTTAATGGTGCTTTTTTAATGAAGTTGAAATGGCTATCCGAAGTTTCTTGATGGCAAGCCTACACGTGGTGTCCAAATTATGATGGTTAATAGTGGATTACCTTGTGAATTTAAAGGTGGTTTTTTCATGAAGTTGAATTGGCTATCTGAAGTTTCTTGATGGCAAGTCTACACGTGGTGTCCAAATTATGATGGTTAATAGTGGATTATCTGGTGAATTTAATGGTGATGTTTTATGAAGTTGAAATGGCTATCTGAAGTTTCTTGATGGCAAGCCTACACGTGGTGTCCAAATTATGATGGTCAATAGTGGATTTAATGGTGATTTTTCATAAAGTTGAAATGTCTATCGGCTATCTGAAGTTTCTTCATGGCAAGTCTACACGTGGTGTCCAAATTATGATGGTTAATAGTGGATTACCTGGTGAATTTAATGGTGATTTTTTCATGAAGTTGAAATGGCTATCTGAAGTTTCTTGATGGCAAGTCTACACGTGGTGTCCAAATTATGACGGTTAATAGTGGATTACCTGGTGAATTTAATGGTGATGTTTAATGAAGTTGAAATGGCTACCTGAAGTTTCTTCATGGCAAGTCTACACGTGGTGTCCAAATTATGATGGTTAATAGTGGATTACCTGGTGAATTCAATTGTTTTTTTTAATGAAGTTGAAACGGCTATCTGAAGTTTCTTGATGGCAAGCCTACACGTGATGTCCAAATTATGACGGTTAATAGTGGATTACCTGGTGAATTTAATGGTGATGTTTAATGAAGTTGAAATGGCTACCTGAAGTTTCTTGATGGCAAGCCTACACGTGGTGTCCAAATTATGATGGTTAATAGTGGATTACCTGGTGAATTCAATTGTTTTTTAATGAAGTTGAAACGGCTATCTGAAGTTTCTTGATGGCAAGCCTACACGTGGTGTCCAAATTATGATGGTTAATAGTGGATTACCTGGTGTATTTAATGGTGATTTTTTCATGAAGTTGAAATGGCTATCCGAAGTTTCTTGATGGCAAGCCTACACGTGGCGTCCAAATTATGATTGTTAATAGTGGATTACCTGGTGAATTTAATGGTGGTTTTTTCATGAAGTTAAATTGGCTATCTGAAGTTTCTTGATGGCAAGTCTACACGTGGTGTCCAAATTATGATGGTTAATAGTGGATTACCTGGTGAATTTAATGGTGATTTTTTCATGAAGTTGAAATGGCTATCTGAAGTTTCTTGATGGCAAGTCTACACGTGGTGTCCTTTCCAATTCGAGGTCAAATCAATGGGAAAGCGCCTGCGATGTCTTGTGCAAGCTGGGGCTGTCCTTGCAGCTGGATAGTGTGGCTTATTCCACCACCATCAGTTCTTTTGGGATGCTGGGTACTGGACGAACATGACTTGACTTCGGACAGAAGCGACTCGGGGGAACAGTGGTTGGTCCTGACAGACGGAAATGGGAAAAAACACTAAAAGCGCCTACTGAGGCTAAGTGGGATATGATGGCATCATTTGTTCTTCTATCATCCTACCCATTTTTCAAAAGCAAGGGGTCATCATTGCAGCAAACTAGTTGAAGGATGCCTGCAGGTTTGACTCTGCTTAGTTTCGATGCCGCGCCCCAATCACAATCGCAACCCAATTGTAAAATGCCTGACATGTCTGCATTTGGTTGGTTAATTTGCTGAAACATATATACCTTAGGTATCCTTAGGTAGTACTGTTGTAAGTGGCCACATCCCAGGCCTTAACATCCACTGCAGTGGAATGTGTAGGGTGTAGAGTGATACTCTCCATTTCAGGGTCATGCCAATGGAACGTGTTTCCTTGGGGGTGAGGATCCGGGGGCCCTTAAGAACTTCTTAACATGGATGACTCCAGTCACAACCAGACCAAGTGCATTCTGATTCCATTTTGCCAAAATGGGGGAACAATGTGCAAAAACTGGTTGGTGGTTTGGAACATTTTTTATTTTCCCCAATAGTTGGGATGATGATCCAATCTGACTAATATTTTTCAGGGGGGTTGAAACCACCAACCAGAAAACCGTTTAAAGTGACTCTACTGGGACTGTTCTTTATTTCTGTTTGGCCCTTGATCCAAGTCGAAGCCACATCCTTGGCCGTTCCAAGCTCAACGGCTCCAAGGAGGGCTCCATGGCCGCAGGCGACGTTTCTGCTGGGCGTTTTACTGCAGAGGGGCCTGCAGGCCGATGTAATCAGCTTCAATGTAGCTGGGTCCCAGGGCGCTTGGTGCAGGAGTAGATCTATGATTTCAACGTGCAATGTGGGCCCCTATATATATATTATATATATATATTATATATATATATAATATATATATAGAAACCATCAGAAACCATAGGAAAAATTTAGAATGATGATGATTTCACCAACGCAGATATGGGTTTCATGGACTTTATATGGGTGTATAAAGCCGATTTGTGAGATATAACCATATACACACAGGAGTTTCCAGAAATGTTGGTACCCCAAAATGGATGGTTTATAATGGAAAATCCTATTAAAATAGATGACCTAGGGGTACCCCTATCTCCGGAAACCTCCATTCATATATATATATATATAGATATATATAGCTAAGTTGGTTGATAACTTGGCTAGGGTTTCTGGGGGATATAATAAACTAGTTCACGGGGATCCTAAGCCAACTTCAGCTCGGAGGCAGGTCTGCTGGTGTTTCCTTAGAGTAAACCTGGTTGAAGGGTATTGATATTCCCATTCTCCCAGAATTCTCGTCTTTGGGTCCCACACCTCAAGTCATTTGAGTGGCCTTAGGCTCACATGGCAGTGGCTGCTGTAGCTTCAGGGACTTTTTCACGGATGTGTTTCTGGAACAAGTTGAGAAAACATGTGAACTCAGCAAATCTAAGCTTGGTTGGGTAAGTTAGTGGCCAACATGGACCAAAGACTTATTAGTAGGAAACAATGCTAAAAGCTAAGTAAGAGTTGACTGACACGCAGATATCGGTGTATCTCCCGAGGCATCCATGGGCTCGCAGCCTCAGACTTGGCGGGTGGCCCAGGGGCTGCTGAAAACGATGAGGATGAAGATGATCCGCAGCACGGTGGTGACATGGGGCGCCTTGGAAGATCAAGAGGAGTCCTTCGAGCCTGGGGAAACTTATGGGTGAGGAGCGTTTTGGAGTTTTAGCGAGACATTTGGGATGTTGAACGTATATGACAATGAACTTATTGACTTATTGGTTTTTCAACCCGAAAGTATTGATTTGTTGAAAGATTTTCAATCAGAAATCTCAATGACATCTAAATCCCCAAGTTTTGGCTGGTGAAGGCCGATTTTCCTATCTCAGCCCCAGCGCGTAGCATTCACTGCAAGGCTCCCTGCTACGGCTCAGTCCCTGGTGCCTGGCGCATTACTCCTTGGCATCCGCCATGGGACGTGGAGCGGAGCTGAATGACTGGTGCCGAGCGGCAGCCGGAGGCAGGGAGGAAAGGTGGGAGTTTTTGGATGATTCTGGCAGCTTTTGTTTGGGGAATTGTTTGAAGAGTTTTCCTGGATGTTGGATGATTTTGGGGACATTTTGGTGATTTTTGATGGTTCTTTGAAGATTTGGTTGCTTGGTTTAAGGGAACATTTGCAGGAAGCTCTATATTTGATGGAGAAAACCTATGGTTCCCTTAAGACACCCCAATGATTGAAGTCTTTTTGTTGTTCCTTGATGATTTTGGCGGAGTATTGTTTTTTTGTTGGTGGATTTGGTGGACGTTGATCCAGTGTTTTGTGGATTTCTGTAACTGTTCATGAATGCAACTGGATGTTGATGGGTCTTTATATATGCCTTTGATTGATGGGTTAAACTTACCAGGCTTAATCGTGAGGAAGCGAAATCATACCAAGAGTTACATTGTTTCAATTTTGCAACTTAGAATGTTGTGTTTTCTCAGGATTGCAAACAGTGGTTATACAATTTTGACAATGCAGCCAGATGTGTTTGTAGAAAATTGTTGTGAGACAACCCGGTTCCGGCGTCTTTGAATGGGGAGTGGGGTCAGTCTCATGTCTCTTCCAGCCATGTGAGGCCCATGTTTATTTGGGACATCTTGGGACTACATAGATTACAGAGGGGACGTCACCACTCTTGTTACCCGCATTTTCTTCGAAAATAGTTATGTTATGGTCAGTTTTTTTTTTCCGGTTTTAGACACCGACCTCCACAATATGACACACCCCTCAGAAACCATGTAGGATGTAGGGGGGTAGTTAGCTCGTCCCGCAGGGCCTTGGCCTTTGGCTCTTGGGCTGTTGCTGGATGCCGAAGTGCCTAACACCTTGGCAGCAAATGCTGTGATGAAGAGGCTGCGCGAGGCGGGAGGGTTCCCACTCGTTGCTTCAGAACTTCCACCGACTTCAACCTGGATGTTGTTCAGATGATAGATGAACCATCCAAAACGAAGATTTAACTCTCAAAAATGGTGGTATAATGGAGGGAGAATGGGATATAACAACAGGTACTGAGCTCGAGGATTGATCCTTGAAGCCCTGTGAACGGAGCTAAGGGTACCAATATTCCTTTGTTAAATGATCTTAAATGAGAAGCCCAGGAGCTTAACATGTTCGAAACAGACGAGCAAGTATATAGATAGCAACAAAAAAATCTCTTGTTTTTGCTGGTTAAAAACCCTTCAAGAGTTATCACTTTGGCCGGTGACCAATTTCTTCCTGGGCGGAGCCATGGCGGAGGCAGGGCAATGGCAGCTGTCCTCCGAGCTCCTAGGGCTGATGGAGGCAGATATCACCAGCTATGACGAGGCGGGCCATGACTGGATGACTGGAGCCACCGCTAATCAGAGATGGCAATGAGAATGTTATAAATTACCCTCTGGTAAACATACGAAAAACTATGGAAAGATCCACCATTTTTAATGGGAAAACTATGGAACATCACCATTTTTAATGGGAAAACTATGGAAAATCACCATTTTTAAACTAACGTAACTATGGAAAATCACCATTTTTAATGGGAAAACTCACTATAAATGACCATTTTCTATGTCGCTATGTTACAAATTACCAGAGGGTATAAATTAACAAATGGAGATTGTAGTGGGAAAATCACATAGATGGTGGATGTTTCAGCGAGCCACGTTTGATTATTGGAGGGGTGTATTTATGTATGGGGAACTAAGAAATATAGCTGGGGTTCTGGAATGTAAGTGGAAGATTGACGGATAGATAACCAACTTATCTTGATTACAACCGTGATCGGAAACTTAGAATGATCAAAAGCGCTCGTTTGTTTTTTTGCCCAGCCGCGATTTTGATGTTTGACTAAGACATCGCGTATGTGCAGCAAAACCCAACTTACAATGCCCAGTGTTTGGCTAAACTTAGAATGTTTGGGCATACCCATGCAATATGGTAGAAAAGCCTTTTATTCACCATTCTTTGCCAGTAATTATCATGGAAGCCCTATAAAATATAATGCCCACAGTTTTTCTCATTTGACCCCACAAAAGTGTAGTCGCGTTGTTTTTGCAACATGTCTCAGCAAAAATGCAAAAAATGAATGGACAACTATCAAAATCTTCAAAAACTGGGGAACCATTACCATGGTGTAGCCGTTGAATATGTGTGAGCAAAAATGAAGAAAAATGAGCGGAAATTAACGAAATTGCATGGTTCTGAATGAGGAAAATGTAATGTGGCAGGGCTTTTTACTTTTGTCAGGAAAACTGAAAAACAATTCAACGAATACATTTAGTGACATAAGGCGAACTTAATGTAGCAGCCTGTGCTTGGAAGTTTGGAACATGTTTTTTCCGAAGTGAAAAGGGGGAAAGGAACATGAAGGGAAAGGAAAGGAACATAAATGGTAGATGAACGGAACATGAAGAGAAAATAACGGATTATGAACAGATAGTGACAAGACAAAGGAAACGTGAGTATATTTCATGTATGTGTGCTATATATTATATTGATTGATTTTAAAAATGCCATAAGGGGAATTCGTCTAAGTTCAGCACCACCACCACCACATGAAAACACACTGGCGACAAGCGGCAAATGCACAATGCAATGATAAAACATAACATGTGTTGAACACATGCCAAAACAGGAAAAACACATAAGCACGGAAAAGCACATCGAAAACGAAAGAAAGCAATATATATATATATGCATGCGTTCTGGATACCAAAAAATACCAAAAGGGCATTCTAAGTTTGCCACCAAAAATTGGAAACACCTTGAAAACACAGGAACAATGCAGAAAATGAAGAGGAACCAAAGAGCAGTAGTTCAAGATAATTCAAGTATTTTTCGTTTTTCTTGTAGGATTAATTCCTCATTTTCCATGACATTATGTTGTCCATTTTGTCCTGTGCTTTCAAAGTTCCTCGTTTTTGGTGCTTAAACTTAGTATGTCTTTTTGGTATGTCCAAAAGTGCATTCTTTCACAAGAGATTTCCACAAAATGGCATGGACACCATCCAACATAGAATGCCCGCCCATTCGCTATGCAGAACCATTATTGAAACCTTGACTGACCCAAGAACGGTGCAGTTGCCCTTTTTGAACATGTGCCAGGAACACTCAAGGAAAATGAAAGGAAGAGAAAGGATCATGACATGCAAAATGAGAAAAAGGAAAAAATCAGGACCAAGAAAGGACAAAGGAAGGACAAAGAAAGGAAATCGAAAGGAACCTAAAAACAACATGCACAAAGAACATAAAAATGTAAGGACAAGAAAGGACGATGACAAGAAACAACAGGGAAGTGAAAGGAACACGGGATGGGAAACAAACGGAACATGGAGGAAAATGAAAGGACAAGAAAGGAACCTGAACCGTGAAGGCAAGTTAATGTAAACCCACTAGTAAACCTTTATAATTATATCTATTTTTACCACCCATATGTGGTGATATTGGGGATGGTTTTGAATTGGGTTTACCCCACAAGTATTGAAGGGTTACAATATGATATGATAATTGCATCTGGGCGCAGAGGCATCGATCCTTTTCCGTTGGTTTTCCTTGCATTTTGAAATAGTACACACATGAGATTTAGGTGTTTGGGTACTGGGTCATTCTAAGTTTACGAGGAGGCATTCCAACTGGGGAGCATTCTGTGTTTTACCAAATTTATTGTTTACGTTTCTTGGCCCATTATAAGTTTCTGACTGCAAATTGTGAATTGTCTGGGGAAGTCTTGGTGGAGAAGCATTTCAGAAATAAAAGGGTGTTACCCTCTGGTAAATTAGCAGTTGGACCCTGAAAATCACCAATTGTTAGAGGAAACTAATCTTCCAACCCCGATGACTATCAGGGTCTATGTTAATTTACTGGAGGGCATCAATCAAATCAATCAATTAATGGCCGATGCACTACAGTCGTGCCCAAAAAGAATCAAAAAGATGCAGTTTGATGATGTTTCCTCCATAGTTTCAAGGTGCCAGACTTTCATCTACGAAGTTGCAATTACTGGATCAACAGGGTACCACAACCACCTAGCTTCATATGTATCCACCGCCAGGGTTTTGCCCCATAGTCACGGTGACTGTAAGGAGAACTGATATCCTCTTCATTGAAATGTATAATGGAGGAAACAATGTGTCACATATATTGTTATTGAATTTCCCTTGTAACTTGGAAAGATGGTGGGTATAAGAATCCCATATACAAATCTGTGTAAGTATCTAGCTGAATATAGTCATACATATATATATATAAATCAACTCGTGTGGCAGTGGTTACACGCCTTAAATTAAACCTGGAACCCCACACATGGAGTCGGAAAGATTTGGGAAGATGTTTTTCCAAACTTGGGTTTGCCCTGTATTGGGTTAAATAATATTTTCAATGGGGGTACTGGAAAATAAAGGACAACATCCATGAATCCATGAAGTGGGGGAGTGATCAATAAATCACTAGCTCGCACTATGCTTGGCAATGTGGTAGGCCCATACCTATAGCATTTTGTGGAGAGTATCGGTTCAGTTTTCATGCCCCTCCTAGTGGTAGAATTTGGTGCACTAGCTGCCTGTTCATTTGGCGATGTATAGCGGCAAATTGCAATTTGAACAACGAAAATAATATAAAAAGATGATCAATATTTATATGGGATAATCTATATGGGTTTTTACAGATGTATATATATATATATATATATATTGGATTTGGGGGTGCCCTGTCATGTTGCTACTCGGATGCGCATCCCAGCTGATGCTAATCCCAGCTGATACCTAGCTAAAGACCATAGTTCTAAAGAGCAGTGATTCTCAGGGTCTATGTTAGGACCCAGCGCCGCCCACAGGCAACTGGTCAGGAACCCGCTTTTTTTTGGTATGGTTTGGGGTGGGGGGGGATGTTAACGTCCCTGTGAACTTGCTCACGTCATGTATTATTAGTGAACTTCGGGGTTTGGCGGGTGGGGGGGATGTTAACGTCCCTGTGAACTTGCTCACGTCATGTATGCTTCGTGAACTTCGCCTGGGTTATATATACACGATATTACACAATGAAAATCACATTTAGATACATATAGATGTATATCAACATGTTCATACATATACATTTATTTGCACTATTATATACATACAAATGTACATATCTTTTTGTTTAAATTTATGCACATAAACATTCACTTACGTACACACACACACATATATATATCACATGTATTATATATATATATGTGTATATATATATCACGTGTATATATATATATATATTATTTCTTTTTTATACATATATACTTAGGCTTAGACAACTTAAATAAACTTGTCGGGGAATGTTCCATCGCCCTTTCTCAAACAATTGGCCAAAGCTTGCAACGCTCGCTGGTAATGGCGCAAGAACAAAAGAGCACAAATCGCAAAGAACAAAAGGCACCAAAAAACACCAGTTGCCCAAGGGCGGCGCGGCCTGTTAGGAGGGGATGGTCACCCCGTATATTTCTAGTGGTCAGTCGCAACTATTGCTACTTAAATTGCGTTGAAGAATCATTAAGTTAAATACCCGTTTAATAATCATTGGAGAACCACGACAATATATTACCATTGAAAACCCATTGAGTAGCCACCAGAATGGGATTAACCCTTCGAACACCATTACATCACCATTAAAACCTTGTGTCGTCGAATCAGGTGATGTTGCGCGGTCCGCGGCAGGCGGTGGAGGTGCTTGAGACGGCGCAACTGGAGAGTGACCTCACGAAGATTAGAGAAGTTTCCCTCCAGTGAGCTAACATGCTGTGGATGGTTGCCAAATCGGGCACCAGTTGATATATAGATGATTTATCCCATTACTTTTAGGGGTTCAACCATCCAAGGTGGTGCAGGATTTCTTCCATCCACAGTAGCTCTGGAAAATTGCCCATTTTATAGATGATTTATAGTTGAAAACCATTTGTGCCATCCAACTTTGTCATTTGTCTATCTTTTTGGCGGTTATAGAAAGGGTGATTTTCCATGGCAAAGTGTTAGTTTACCTGGTATTGTGTGGGTTTGTGCAGCAGCTGCACATTGTGATGGAGAGACACGACCTGCTGTTCCTTTGAAATTTGCTGCCAAAATAAATGGAGTCAACGCATGGTTCATGGTGCTGGTGAAGGCTTGGCTTAGGTAGCTACCCAAGATAGGTGAGTTGGTGAAAATCATCAGCACACTTGGGGCCAACATAGTAGTTGCACCTGTTGTTAGATGGATGTAAAGACCAACTACCACGTGTTACAGCTATGGTTCATGGTAGTTACAAGTATGGTTAGGTAACTGTGGTTTTAAGTAGGGGGGTGCAAAAAATGTAGCTACACTGGATATGCAGATTGACCAGTTGGAAGCAGTGCCTCCAAGTTAGATGTGCCAGAAGTTGGTCGGCCTCAGGAATGATCATGTTTTGGACCATAGATGGAAATATGTAATTCATCATTTAGATTAGATCTAATATACCCTGGCATATTCTGTAGCATGATCATATAGAATGATCATGTAGAATGGACCTAAAGATAGATAGATTATGTTAGTATTCGAATCTGGCAGGCTCTTTTTCGGTTATGGAATTCATCATCTTCCCGTATTGTTGGTCATGTCGATCTTGCGTTTGGTCATGTAGTTCAGTCAGGTTCCTCCAAGAACAGAATGTGCCGTACGTTAGTGTTCCTTAAAGACAACGTGCAGTGATGGAAAGTGATGCAAAGCGTATTTGGCTGATGCAAAGCGATGGGGTTTCAAACACGTATTGTTTTTCAACCATGCTCGGGATGATTGGCTGAGATGACGCACATTGTGGGATGAGTTTAATCCACCAACCAGTTATGGATATCCGGTGGGGGTCTCCATCCTTTCTTGATGGAGATAGCTGTTTTGAACTGTAGAGCTCTGAAAAAGACCTAGTAAACTTAGTAAACCTCCATGTTTATCAGAATTCAATGTCAGGCAACGTGGATTTGTCAGAATTCATCCATATTCATCCAACGTCAGGCAATGTGGAATCACACCTTGCAATAGCTCCAAGCTAAAGCTGACTTTGGCTCTTCCCTCGCTTCTCATTGTGTAGTGTTGGCCCAAGTTTCCCGTGGGAAGATTTGGCGTCACAGCAGACATGCAGCTTGGAGAAATGGATGAAGGTTTCAGCGAATGATGAACGTGGATTTGAGAGTTGTTATGGTGACCCTATTTGTACTTATATTTTGTATATATATATTATATATATATACGTATAAAGCAGAAAGTTTTATGTCTGCGTGGGTATATATATATGTGTGTGTGTGCGTACCCATGTGTGTATGCGTATGTATGTGAATATAGTGTGCGGGCGTTGATCTATTCCGTGACTCTCTCCCTCTATTGTCCTGAAATAGACAGGAATTGAACGTGACCACAGAACAGTAGATTCCAGCGCGAAAGCCAGTTGGCTTCTTGAAAGCCGCCTTGGAGTGTTGGTTTGTTGGCTCGAGTCCTTCAATAAGATGGTTTGATGTAATTTTGAACAACAACAAGCCCGCCATTTTTTTGCCTCGAATCTGGTCATAAATGATTTAACCACCATTTGGCACCCTACCATATATTAACATATATTAACCATAATTACCCATTATTAATCAATTAATCACAATTTTTAACAAGTAACAGCCATATAAAAACCATATATGAACCATATAAGCATTATGAAGAATTATGAACCATATATAAACCATATAATATAGATTAATCATAAATAAACCATATATTAACCAAAAAGTAGAGACCCTGCCAGCCTTGGAACACCGAGGTTTTGGTGCTGCTGTGACAAATCCACAGATGGAGGGATCGACGCCGTCCACACGATGCCCGCGTTCGGGGACCCGGGGACCCTGAAGAAAATGACCAATCCTTTGCCGCACAAATCCCTTCACTCTAATATTAAACGTCTCCCACCCAAAATAATAAAACCTAGGGGTAGTTTTTATTATCTAGGGGAGTTTTAGTATGTTTTAGTAATAGGGAGAAGGGATTAATATTAAAGATTCATAAATATACACCCTAGAAAGCTTGTGGTTGAGTATTGGACGTATTAGGGATAACTTATTGGGACTATTTGATTTTCAGGGGGGAATGGGACTATACTGAAGAAAACAAGTGTGTTCTAGTTGAGTTCCATATTGCCCAGGACCAAACGGTCGATCCGACCCGCGGAACTCTGCAAAGGGGTATGGTCATGCCAGAAAAAGAGACAGGAATTACAAGTCCCAAGAATGGTACCCTTTGGTAAACGTATACATAACTATGGAAAATCGCAATTTTATAGCTGGGAAATTCCACTATTGCAATGGCCATTTTCAATAGCCATGTTAAATTACCAGAGGGTACTGTGGATGGTTGCGAAATCCCGCACCACCTTATGGTTGAAACCCTAAAAATGATGGGATCAGCATGGATACCACCTATCAACTGGTGCAGGATTTCGCATCCATCTCTTGAAATAAGGCCAGAACCCAAAAATTTCATCCTTTCCCCTGACATTTTTTAACTCCCTTTAGGCATTTTTTTGGGGATTGCTATATTGTGTTGCTAAATCAAGGGGGATGTGCAACAATCTCATGCTGGGATGACCACAAAGCATATCAGAAACTATCCCCATGATTGGTTGTTGCAGTATGTTCCCATAGGTTCTTATATATTCCCATACGTTCCAAGATGCATATTTGTACATATATATATATATACATATATATACATACACGTATTATATATATATATGTGTGTATCACCCATATATTCCCATGTTTTCCAGTATGTTCCATGTATATTCCCACACTTTTGTGTTTTGACAGTGGCCTCCGGGTTTAATAAAACTGACCTGGTCGCGCCATCCTCAGGATTCAGGACTCTGAAACGAAAGAACGGGGGGAGATCGTCGAAAATACCCTTGAGACGCTTGGGCAGGAGGGGGCATCCCAAGATTGAACACTGGAAAGTGAGGATTCATCCTTAAAATATGCCATGTTGAGTGAGGCAATAGGAATTACAGCATCCCCAAACTTACCATGATAATACATGAGTTGATGTGGCTGGCTTATGGGTAGTTAGTTTATCATCGCTAAGTTTATTTATAACATGTTATAACTAGATATCTGGATCTAACTGGGGTTTATGGCATACAGATACAGATACACAAAGATATGCAGTTGGATGATGTTGGATGGGAGCCTTGCAACAGATGTACGACCATTGCTGCCTTGACACGTGAATATGTGTATTAAATTTCAAGACTCGGGTGTTTCAGTGTTTGACCAAACACAGATTTCGGGGGTTGTGGGATTTCCATTACATTGGTATATGTTATATATTATATAATATTGATATCATATATTACACATGTGTTTCTTATAGAGCATTTTTGAGCAAGGGGTACTTCGACAGTTGATTGCACACCTTTTGCTCTCAGTCCGAACCGAAGCTTCTGAGCAATCTTTTTGAATTCCAGGGTTCAAGATACAGCACTTGTAAACACGACCCCCATGAGGATGACATTCCTCTTGATGGAATTTCAGCTTCCCTGGCCCTAGCTGAGTCAAATACATTAATATACATTAATATACATTAATATACATTAATATACATTAATAATCATTAATATACATTAATATACATTAGTATACACTAGTATACATTAATAACACGTTTATGAGTAATTATGAGTACAGATATTTTTTAAAGGACAGTCCAGCCTGATTTCGCTATTGTCAGTCTATTTTTAGTGGCTCGTTTCAGCCCCAAACTTTGGATACTTGGGGGTTGCCTGGTCATCCAAGTTTAACTGAGGATGAATGAAATTCATGGATCCTTCGCAGCATCTTGGGCTGCAATCCGAGATGCTTGTAGCTAGACTATGGCCCATATGGATCCATATGGTCATCTTACTGGTGCTTAGTAGGGAATTTTCGGGAATGATCCATAATCACTAGTAATAATCATCCCATTCCCCCAGCAACCCATCCATTCCCTCTTAAGCACCAGTAAGTCATATGGAGTCATCCTGGGTCAAATCGTCAGACGCCATGGTGATGCCCAGTTGACTGAAAATGTCTGCGTTTACATATATTGTATTACATATATGTGTATATAATATATCTTTTTATGTATACATATACATAGCAAACAGAAATGCATATTGCAATTGCATCATATTGTATTTCCTTATTTGCATATGCATTTCTGTTTGCATATGATTTGAATTGCATATACGTTCATTTGCATGTCAATAAATACCTATACATGACGATATGCATTGCATACCAAAAAAACATAGCTCTTTGTGGCCAGCCAGATCGATTTTGTGCCAGTGAGGTGAAGATCAACCTGCCCGAGATGTATTTGTGTCACCTTGGCGACTTGGCCCCCAGACGTCAGCGGGGTATTCGAAAATTGGAATAAGTGTAAAAATGTGTGATAGAATCTAGAATCAAGTGAGCTGGAAAAGTGAGCTGGAAATGGAATGATCAGAGTTGCTCCAACCTGTTATAGCTTAAAATAGTGGCATTCCGTATGATCAAAAAAAAAGAGCATAAAATTTGGTGCACAATGGATTATATACCAGGTATACAACGGGTATATATTGGGTGTCTACCTATAAAAGTTGTTTTTTTGGATTATATGGGATTGTGAATCCTGAGTGGGCGTACAATATACTAAGAAAAATAACGACACTAGATATTTGCTGGGTATATAATCAACACATCTATCGCTGATGACTCGGTTTTTTGAACACGTTGAAAGCCACGATCACAAGTTTACGAACTCCATGGCCGATGTTTTGATGTGTTTCGATGTATACACAATGCACAAACACGCACATAATTGTAAATGTATGCGCATGCACACACATTTGCAAACAGACATGCATGCAGATATTTGTATATATTACATTATCCAGGGGTCATTTGCAGATCGTAATTCTGAGTGCACTGCTGAGAGGTTGCAATTTCGGGCATAGAGTGTTGGCTCATAGATTGAATCGAAGATTTAAATCTGGCTGGTGAGCCCTGGGCAAGCCACCACATGTGGACGTTGATGATTTACATGGTTTCCCTTGGCATTTGAAACATTTGACAAGGTGGTGCCCCTGAGCTATTATATATACTGATTATACTGGCTAAAGCCAAGTAACTAGTTCGATACATCTCCATGAACCCCACCTAGTGACTTTAACCAACGGGGCGTTTCCGAATTGGTGCACCCCATCCCAGATCATCCACGTGGCGTGAACGGAGTTGGCAGCTGTGGATGGTCGTGTTGGTATCTTCGAAACATGATTGGTCGCCGTGCCATGGAACGAAGCTACAAATGGCGTGAGAAACTCCTGACAGCAGCTTGCTGCTGCATCTGGAAGGGCACACCGCTCATGTTGGATGTCCTTGCTGCATTGCTTCTTGAGTTGCAGTACGATACGCTATGGCGTTTTTCCAGCCAAGAAATTATAAATTCACGAATGGCTCCTGAGCTCCAAAAAGTGGCTTGAACAGCGTAGAATATGATGTTCCCTACTTTGAATTAGCGTTTTCGGGGTGCCAGCCCCTGAAATTTCCTTAAGTTTAAATTCACTTTTTTGGGGTTAACGTTCCTAACCTGTTCCAGGACCTTCATTCTCTCGAGATCACCATGGGATGACGTGACCAAAAATCGTGAGCTTCTGAGGATTGGAGTTGGACGATGTGGATGATAGAGGTGTGGGACCTGCGACGTGGCATGCTTGTGTGGTACCCTCTGGTAAACCATGGTAGTTGAATAACTTATATTATATAACCATTGATAGTACAGTATATATAAATATAGATATGTTAACTAACTTCATGGTACTACTTGGTACACCATGGTTAACTCTATTGAAAATGGACCATTGATAGTTGATTTACCTATTAAAAAAGGTGGTTTTCCACAGCAAACTGTTAGTTTACCCGGGTTATCGGAAGCAACCCATGAAATGTTGGTGGATATTTTTGCTATACATATTGATTTACTGTAACTAACTAACCCATTATTATAGAATCATCTCTAATTTTCAGTGGTTGACAACTTACAACGTTTGAATTGCTAAGTCAGTGATGTTTTTCAACGGGCCCTTATGCAAAAAGTGAAGTTTTCCGGGGTCTCAAGAGGCTAGGGTTTACCAAATGAAATGGAATTTCCTTATCATCCAAAAATTGTCAAACATGAATATCTACTGTCCGGTAAGATGCTAGCTGCAAAACCCACTATTTATATGTGTAATTCCGGGATTTTCCAGCCATGTCTGGGCCAACCAGAGGGTTCTCACCTCTGGTGAGCAGCGGCCGCATTTGCACCATGGTTCACCGGATCACCATTCGGCTCCGGTGATTGCAGCTGAACATCCTGTTGACATCCTGCTGCACATGAATAGCACGCTGAACTTGGATGATTTTGGTAAGTACACGCCATTTATCACCTTGGAAAACCGCGCTATTTATTTGAGTGTTTAGTGAAACATAGTGAAACTTCGCAGGAGATCAAAGTTTCAGCCTGGAAAAGTGCAAATGATTCTCCAATAAGCCATAATAAGCCTCATGGTGTTCAAGCCACTCGCGTTTACATCTGGGTCCATCCTGTGGTCACAGCGACGGATTTTGAGAGGCCCAATGATTGTGAGTGTGGGCAATGGCGTGGTGGAAGCCTTCAACACGGACTGTCCGACGGTGGGGGGAGGATGGGGCTGAGGACGGGGCGGAACTCCATAGTGATGTCGCTTGCGACTAAAACGGGACCATATATATATATATGACAATTATTATGACATGTGTTCAAGATTTGTCGGGAGGAGCATATGTTGCTTTGTGGTTTCAAAACATTTCTTTGCACTTCATATTTTTCCATCCATACAATGTATGTAAAGCCTGGGGCAATTGAAATCCGATTGGCGTGGTGTTTTTTTCCAGGGTTGAATCGAGCAACAAACTTTGATGTTTGGCTTGATGAGACTCACCCGGGGCTCATGAGATGTGCTGACAGGCAAATCTCAAAGAGATGAGAGGGGGAAAAAAAGGCCTAATTTGCAGCAAGAAAGGGCCTCAGCAGGCTCAGATTTTTCGCGAAACATCTCTTTCAACGGACCACATATGAATCACCTTCACTGATTTAGTATCTTTCATTGATTTTTTGCTTGCAGGATAAAAACCTTCCTTGGGAACCTTTATGAACATTTTATCCACCCCCGGAAGGTGATTGGATGGTTGCATGTATGACCTCAGCTGTGAAAGAACACAAAAGAAGTTGGTGGCCTCCCATTATATCATTATGATATACGATATTAACTAGGTTTTATCATAGTATTATTTGTTTTTTCGCCCATTATGACAAAAGAGATTATCATACATTGACTATAGGTTTTATCAGTTTTATCATAAATAATCATGAGTTTTACGAGTTGTTGATATTTATTCATTATTTCAATGGATTGGTTTAAGGGAAAACCTACAGGAAACCATAGATTTCCCATTAAATATGGGGCTTTCCTGTGAATTTTACCTTAATCCAATCCATTGATGATTGCCATTGATTCCTATTGAGTACCATGGTTGATGAACTCTCCAGGAGAATCCGTCCAGAGCATTGAAACCCTTCGATTGCATCACCGCGGTCAATGGCACCTCGGGCACGATGAAGGCCGTGAAATCACCCGGAAACACCGGTCAGAGCGAGATGGAAAATCATGGTCCGAAGCGAACTACCATTTTCAATAGGGAAATCCACCATAAATGTGGTAGTTTCAATAGTTATGTAACAAATTACTCTGGAGGGTATATCATGTGGACATATTACCCACTGGTTATCACTAACAGTTCGCCATGGAAAAAAGATGGCCCATAGAAATAGACGGTTGACCGAACTTCAAAATGGTGGATCTTTCCATGGCGAACTGTTAGTCATAACCAGATGGTGATGATTGATTGAGATTTAATATTTATATAGTGGTGTTTTTCAAAAAATGATGATAACTACCCTCTGGTAAACTAACATAGCTATTGAAAATGGTGATTTATAGTGGATTTTCCCATGAAAAATTGTGATTTTCCATAGTTATGTGACAGTTTACCAGAGGGTAGCCAATATGTAGCCAATGATGCTCAGCTTGGTGGTTTGGGATGTTTCGGGATGGATCCCCGGTTAGGGTTGAAACCACCAGATGTTCGCATGGTTTTGTTGTGAATATTTACATGCACCAGTTCACGAATGTAAACATGAACTGGAAGTGTTTTGCACCAGTTCGCAAAGTTTCCCCAAATGAAGTGTTTTTATTTACATGTTTTGTTGTGAATTTGGGGAAACTTTGGTCATGGAGTTACTGGGGGTCAGCCGAGAAAAACCAAAACACTTCAGGCACATCATCCGATGGTGATGTAACCGGCAAGAGCCCCGGGTTTTTTGGGTGTTGCCACTATTCCCTTGCTGGAATAATTGATTTAAAATCTACGCTCACAGACATCTCAAAACCATAGACGTTCCAACAGAAAACACTGAGAGAGAAAGTACAACTAATTGTAGAACAGGTGGGTCCCCAATGCTCACAAGCCCTGACGGCTCATGAATAGCCCCAATACGGCCCAAATCAACTCCTTATAGGTCAAATAAGATGCATTTTTCCGGTCTATGATCATATCAAATCATATCATATCATATCCATATCCTATCATATCATATCATATCATATCATATCCATATCCTATCCTATCATATCATATCCATATCCTTTGATATCCATTTCCATATCCATATCCATATCTATATCGTATCATAGATGGTGATTTTCCATAGCTGTTTGTATGTTTAAACAGAGGGTAATATGGTGTTGTGCTGCATTCGGCCTGGCAAAGCTGAAGCTTCCTGGTGCTCTTCCGCTTGCCATGAGCAGCACCAGGGCGATACCTTCGGGGGCGGCAAACGTCGTGCAGTAACTACTGGTCAGTATATTTGCATACATGCTCGAATGATCTTGAATGTATGATTACAGTTTTTCCATGTTTTTACTATACACAGCCACATTTTGTATTATATCTCTGTGATGCACTTCTGCACATGCCCACTCACAATTTTACACATGCCCACTCACATGTATGTATGCAACTATATACCTAGTTATTCTTATGCTATGTTCATCCTATGTGTTTCACTGCCTATATATCGGATCAGCAACCCCACAGAACCAAAAATAAAATCCAAACCTAGTTAGAATAGTGACAAGCAACTTTTCTGTTTGTTCTCCATGTTGGCGGATCAGCGGATAGTTTGATTACTATTGTGGTACCCTCTGGTAAACAAACAGTTTGCTATTGAAAATTGCCATTTATAGTGGTTTTACCCATTAAAAATAGTTATTTTCCATAGTTATGTTAGTTTACCAGAGGGTAATTACAATCTTCATCACCAGAGTTGCATGGATACTGTAGCAGAATCCAGGTTCGCCGTTTTCTTGAACAGAGGGCATCCCTTGTTAACTAGTGGTATAAAGCTATGTTCGGTTAACAGAGGGTATCACTCATGTTTATAACATTAAAAGCATCGTCTTTCAGCATAGCTAGGACCATAGTTAACACATTGTTTTCATCATAGTTACAATTAAAACATATGTTAACATGCTGCATTGTTCTCATTGTTAACATATAATACAGTTATTATTAATCATAGTTACAGTTAAAACAATGGGAACATTATGTTACTATAATCTATGTTGCAACTTTCCCAATTTTTTGTGCTTAGTTTGCATATTGGTAGCCATCTATATCTGGTCCAACCACATAGATTCCGATTCCGCAGACGGTGGTCGATGCCTTAAAGACTGGCCTGCAGGCAACAGACACTCGAACGTGGAGAAAGGGGAGAGCGGTTGAAATTTGGGGAATTACAATGGAATTATACAGCTGGTTGGTGGATGGGATTTCTATATAGTGGTTTAATATGGTTTAATGGTGAGTAATCATGGTGGTTAATGATAAATTATCTGGTTGGTGGTTTGGAACCATGGAATTTTATGACTTTGCATATATTGGGAATGAAATAATCATGCCAACAGACGAACTCCATCATTTTTCAGAGGGGTTGAAACCACCAACCAGATAATGTTGTTTTATACAAGACAGGTTTGGTTGAATGGTTTTAGAACGGTTGAGTGTGTGTGTGTGCCTGTATTTTCTTATTGGTGCTTTCTGGGTCGCAACATGATTTGCGTGTTTAGCGGTTAAATACCTGCGATCCTACCGGAGAATTTTTACTGGTAAGTAGCCTTAGTTTGAATCGCGTTACATTTGAGTTGTCATTTTCCCCTCCCGCTCTTGTATTGCTTAAACGTTTAAACCATCATTTTGGCTGGCTACTAGGTTTCCTGACAGAGTGGAGCCCCGCGGTTTTGAGTTGATTTAGTTTGGTTTCATCCAGTGAACTGTAGGGATAGTTTAATTGTGGTTATATTTTTTCTTACATATAGGGAAAACCCTACGTTGCATCAGCGAGAATTGATCAGATCCCTCTTCAGATCCCTCATTGTTGGGTGGTTCCTGGGCTTCCCCAGCACGAGGGTTTCCCCAAAATTGTCAGCGAGAACCGTCCTGAGCTCAGGAGAGGGTCATGCACTTGACCGTTGCACGGCCAACGCGGCTGGGCCCAATTTAGCCGTGCCCAGAAGGGGAAGCACGTCGTGATTGGTAATTAAAGGGATTCATCGCCGTCATCATCATCATCAAACCAGGGATTGTTGTTTCCAGGTTTGAATTGTGATGATTTGCCCCGAACCCCTAGTGGTTGATGGATGTTGATGGTTTTTTTGGCGGCTTTCACTACTGATCCAGCGCTCGAACAACCAGCCAGTTTGGGATTGTGGTCCGTTGCAACTATGAATCAGACGAGAACTCATCAAAGAATAATGCCCTACACATTTCCAGAAGAGAATCAAGGGAATTTCTCAAATGCAAAATAGTCATGGTGGTTTTTACTCGGATTTTTACTGGTGCAGTTGCAGCAGGGTTTTGTTTCACCAAAAATCAGGGTCTTGTGCTGGCCATCAAGTTGTAATATAATGTAATATATATATATGCCCTGATAATCTATGCATGCATATAGGCGCAAAATGGTTGTGCATGCAAAATTTTGACTGCATTTCTATTAATATTGTTAGTACTATTTCTGAACATTGTCGGAAAAGCCCTGTCGGAACCCTATTTTTGTCAGAATTAGTGTCGCGACCCTAGGTATTGTACATGGTTTGAATAGAACCCAAACCCAGTGTATCCAGCTGGAGCGTGACAAACCGTGTCATACCGTGACAATACCTCATTTCCTTCTCAAAACTATGCCATTATCGAAAAACAGCATGACAAACCGTGACAGGTTTTGACATACATTTTTTCTGGAACCGTAGGTTTGGAGGTAACCATCTTGGAGTTATGGAAGAACCCCAAAAGTTATAGAAAATCATGGTGCCCCAAATGTCATCAAAATTTGATGTCAGATGACAACAGCCCACATCCCGCAAAGTATGCAAATAGACCAACGATGGATCTACAGGGATACATCATATTGTTTAGCCGCAAACCAGGTTTTTTTCCGCTCAACATTGATGATCTGTGTAGCCAATGCTGGTGTTGGCTGCAAGGAATAACACCGGCCATTTCTTGGCCATTTCTTGGGCAACTGGTGAACTGGCGCCCGAGGCCATATAAGATCATCTTGGAAAAATCGAACATCGAACTGGGCGCCTTGACAGGATGTTGGGCACTGCTGGAGCCTGGTAGTCTTAGCCGCGGTTTTCACGTATTACTGAGGCCAAATGCTTGGTCAGCTGTGTCTATACCTCCAGAATATCCTGACTTCAAAGGGAAAATGCTGTTATGCCATCTCAGGGAACATCCAAGCGCTACGAGCTCCCAAGCCGTTGCATACTAACTAGCTAGCACTTCAGAACCCGTGTGCCCTCAAAATCACCGGACAGCTCCTGTCCTGTTGACCTATTGGGGCCAAGGGATGGGGTCCAAGAATAATTTTGTACGAAACAAGTTTTCTTTCTACTATTCGTTGGCAAGATGCCAGCTCCTTTTGACATCTGTGGTCTTGATTGTTGGTTTGATCAATGGCCATTCCAGGTTCCTAAAATGGAGGTACTGTACCATATAAGGCCATATTTTCTGGGGATATCCCCTTACATAGGCCTTACATAGGCCTTATGTATGGTAGGTACCTCCAATTTAGGATCCTGGAATGGCCATTGATTTGATGATCGTCAATTGTTGTTTACGTTTCTTTTCACAGGGGATGCCTTTGCTGAAGCGGTCATTAGAGCTGCTGACTGTGGGCGATCCCCTCCATGCAACGATCTGACCTCCTACAACACACGCGAAGACTCTGGTGACCACTAGCACTAGCAATAGCTGGTTGGTGGTTTCAATTGTGTGTATTTCATACAATGTGGTGCTCCTCAGTTATAAGTTGGTTTAGCTAACTATGGGGCACCACCTTGTAGAAACGTATTTCCTAGCAGGCTGGGTTAAACCACCAACCTATATGATTCCTTTCTGCATCAGACGGGCCAACTGTACAGTCCCAGGATAGGAAGTGGAACGCTGAGATCTCCGTAACAAAATAGCCTCCGCTAATCTAGCCAGGCTAGTTCGGAAATGCACCATGGTCAATCACTTGTATCTACTTCTATGTAGATTATGTTAGCATTGAAAAAATGCAGTGTGATGATTTTTTCATGTGTAGATGATGATCAAACATATCCATTTATATATGTTTGCCCATGTGATTTTCCCATGGCCGTAGTTCGAGGATTTCCCGGCCAACAGGCGCGCAATTGAACTACAAACCCTCCAGCCAAGGGAAGCTGGGAATGCAGCGGCGCGGTGGTGTCCTATATAATCCAAATGTAAGGGGGGGGGGATCCCATAATTTATTTACATAATTTTACATATATATATATATATGTATATACATATCTATCTATCTATCTATCTATCTATCCATCTATCCATCCATCCATCCATCTATCTAATTGCCGTATAGTATGGTTCCCACCCACTAACTGGAAGGCACCCCCATGTGGGGCCCCCAGTCGATAGGTTTCTGCTGGCTTATAGTTTCAGTAACTGGGATTCATTAGATATCTATCGAACTAGTTATGTCATGGGGCTTGTAAACCAACACACATAACCAGGGGGGCATCACCTTGCAGACTGGGGGCAACACCTTGCAGCATGTTTCAGGGATCAATGATCCCTGGGAGAGATTTTGATTTGTTACGGGCCCGTGATTATACCACACTTTGTGAGTGTGGACATGTGTCAATTGCCAGATGGAACAAGGCCTTCTGATGGCCTACTTCATTCCCTGGAAGTCATGAAGATATGCTTGTTGATCTCTGGTAGGTTTATATTTTTGCTTGCCAGGTTGGTGAAGATCATATTCGGCACGAGTAAAGTGTTTACACATGTTTGCTCGGTATCTAAGCACATGCAAGCCCTTTGGTACAAGGTTGGCCCGAGACAGGTAATTCACTTGGTTTATGGCGTTCACAACTGTAGTTTATAGCAGATATATACAGTAGTTAACTATAGTTGATTATATGATTATATATATTATATCTGGTTATGATATCCATTGATAATGAACTATACAAATGTGATTTATACAGCAGATATGTCCAGAGTTGATGGGCTGATCTTTGTCTCTGTGCTCTGTCCGTCCCCAAGGATCAGCCTGGCGCAAATTGCACATGGAGGAGCCACACCGGGCCCCCGGGGGATGTTTCGGGTGTCAAGTGTGCGTACCGGTAAATATGATCAAGAACATGAACATATTGGAAAGAGGATACCCTCTGGTAAACAGCCACATAACATCACATAACTATGGAAAATCACCATTTTATAGCTGGGTAAATCAACTATAAATGACCATTTTCAATAGCTATGTTTGTTTACCAGAGGATAGTCCCCAGCTGTCAGTTGATTTGTATTGGAGCTTTCTGAAAATGGGGGTACTATACCCCAAAATCATCCATGGATGGATTTTCCAGCAAATAAACCATCCAGCGATAAAGGGTATCCCCAAGGAAACACCCTTATGAGCAACATCCAGCTACAACTAGGAGATCGTGGGCCGTAGATTTCATCTGCAGTGATTTTTCGGGGGAAACTATGAGGTGAGATGCATATACTATACTGTGTGCTGTATATATCCAATGAGAATTATATATTATATCATATTATATCCCACATATATCCAGTTATATATATATATATACATCATTGTATATAACTATATATATATATGTATATACTGCACATCATGTCTACATCAGGCATTGATTTGCAGTTACTTGCTTTTTAATGAGTAGCAAATGGTGAAGTAATCAACCTGACACAACAAGCCCTTTACACCTGCTGTCCGCTGTCAGATGATCCCCGCTGAAGTGGGACATCAGTGGTGACGTTTCTGTGATGCCTTGACACTCCAAAAACACCACCACTCAGAAGTGAGATAGTTACCCTCCGGTAATTTGACATAGCGAAGTGAAAATTATGATACATGGAGGTTTTATTGGGACAATCATTTGCACATGGGCCATGTTCATCCATTTTCCAGTTCGCTATGCTAATTTAGCAGATGGTACCCTCTGGTAAACTAACATAACTATGGAAAATCACCATGTTTAATGGGAAAATCCACTATAAATGGCCATTTTCAATAGCTATGTAACAAATTACCAGATGGTAACCATTATAGTTTTCCAGGTGTCAGCCCGCGCCGTCCGGCTGGTTGAGCTGAGTGAATGATGTACTTACTGGTTATGACTAACAGTTTGCCATGGAAAGATCCACCCATTTTTAATAGGTAAACCATCTATTTCTATAGGCCATCTATCCCATGGCTATGTTGAATAACCATGTACTTATTAAAATGGTGATTCTCCAGTTCGCTTTGTTTAATGATGTTTAATTACCAGATAAGAATGATAGTTACAGAACCTACGGAGTTGTTTTCTTGAACCGCGCGTAGATGAACGTGTATGAAATTCGGGCCCAACGCATGGCCATCAAATAGTACAGGAAATGATGATATCAATGTGGATTCAGGGAATTAATATACTGGTTGGTGGTTTGGAATATGTTTTATTTTCCCATATATTGGGAGTATTCATCCCAACTGATTAAATTTTTTCAGAGGGGTAGGTCAACCACCAACCAGTATAAACTGATGGTAACTTTAATCATGTTCATAGGGAAAATGATGATCTCAACCAGTGGATGGAATGGGGGGCCCAATTTTCAGACCAACCCTGATACTGTGACTACAAAAAAAGAGCAGGGTGGGAGATGACCGTGAGAAAATTCTCAGATGGATCTCATTTCAATGGTACTCCAAAAGAAACAGGTACCTGGTAATTGAACAATAGAAAATGGACCATTTATAGATGATTTACCCATTAAAATATGGAATACGGTAAATTTCCTTAGTTTCTTGTATGTTTACCATATTTGTGGATGATTTATAGATGATTTACCTATTAAATGGGGGTATAACAGTCCGATTTTTTCAGGGCTGTTGATGGGCGCCACGAAAGGACGCTTCGAAAGGTGGAATGCTTTAAATCCCGTCCCTCGGCTCACAGTGCCGAGATACGTAGCGCCATGCTATGGTTTGTTTGTATATAAACTTGCTCGACCGTGTATGTACAGCCTATATATATATATATATACAGTATATATATATTATATATATATATTCATATAAGTTCATTCATAGCTATATACAACACACATATATACAATATATATATAATATACACACACATATATACATATATATATATAGATGTGTGTGTGTGTGTGTAGCCAGTTAACAGTTGCAAACCAACTTACCGATCTAAGGGCCCACTTGGCATCGGGGATGATCAGGCAGCAATTGTCAGCAGACCTGTCCCCATGTCTGGAGAAATCATCAAGACCACATGGCAACGTCACCGGAATGATGCTTAGGAATGATGCGGCTTAGGAATGAAAATCATGCTCAAAATTCCCGAATTTCTCAGGTGGGTGACCGGTTGGTGAACCATAAGTCTATGTCTATGTTAATGAAACGAGGTTTATTTAATCCGTGATGGTCACCATTGACAGATACCTTGATGGACCGTCAGGCATCCTGCATGCGCCGCTAGAAACCTCAAATTTATACGTTTTGAATCTAGATAAGATACAATATGTTTAGTATGATATTAGTTGCAATACATAACCAGAAACTATAGTAGTAAGCTGAAATCTATAGTGCTATACCAATCTATATCATGATATAGCTATATTGAATCACTTGTCATATTAATCCCTTTCAGTCACCGAGGATCTCCAAGTGAAGGCGGGCGATCGGATCGTCGAAGTGAGCGGCAGCCGGCTACAAGGCGAGGCATCTAACATGGCTGGAAGAGTTCCACTTATAAGAGATACGCTCCGATTATAGTGATCAGGATGTTGAGTTTGGTCTTTAATCTTCTATGTAGTGACGGTTCAAGAACAAAGTGATCCCCATTTATTTCGATGATTTTCCCACTCATGTTGGCAACAGGGCAACCTACCCATTAAAATCTGGATTTTGGGGTTGTAAAAACTATTGGGTTTACCACATGAACTCCATTTAATTAGGACAGGGGTTTTCGCAGTTGTTTCTTTTTGGCGTATGAGCACAGCTAAGTACACGATTTGTTCTTTGTATAGTTGATCCGCAGCCAAGGTGTTTGGAAAAGCTCCACAAAGATAAACAGCTCCACAAAGATGAGGAAAAACCATGGAGAAAGCCGTTTGTAAAATGATACGCTCTAGATGTAGATGTGGGCTTTTCCACATGTAACGTCAGGATATGTTAGGTTGGAGGAGGATACCTGGCTGGTTGCTGGTTTCAAAAGGTTTTCTGTTTTTCAAGCCTCTGGTCCTTTGACATAGCGAACTGGAAGATTGCCCATTTGGTGGTTTGGAACATGAATTTTATGACTTTCCTTATATTGGGAATGTCATAATCCCAACTGTCGAAGTCCATCATTTTTCAGAGGGGTAGGTCAACCACCAACCAGATGATGTACCTATCAAAAATGGTGATGTTCGCTGTGTAAAATTCTACGGGATCTCCCAGAGATGGTCGTAAGATATTTGACGCCACCAACCAGTGCGGGCTGGGTGAAAAGTCTGACCCGACATGATGACCTGAAACTTACCCGCTGGTAAATTAACAGTTTGCTATGGAAAATCACCATTTATAATAGGTAAATCAACTATAAATGAGCAATTTTCAATAGCTATGTTAAATTACCAGAGGGTACTGAAATGGAAATTGTGGGACGTTGGGGAGTTCCAACTACTGACGAATCATCATTTACCATGCTGCAAGCGGAATTCTTGGAATTCTTGTCCAAAGATACCTGCTGGTTCGCCACACAATTGCAGGATATATTCGCCATTCTTGCCCTTGCGAAAACTAAGGGGCAAAACCTTATATATACGTATTTATATATATATATTTAATTGTGGTTTGCGGGTTCAAACTGCAACTATGGTGCCCCCTACCACACATAGAGCAAGCACCTGAGATGGTCCACGATTTTTTCAGAGAGATGGGGAGGAATCATTTTCCAGCACGGCTAATGACTGTAAATTGCGCTGTTTTTTCAAGCCAGGTCCCAAAGATCACAGGGATAACTCTTGTTGTGGAACCACCTGCTGGGCACACCGGAGTCCGCAAAACTGTGCTATTTAGCCTTCAAAAATACCAGCAGAATTGGTGCCAGATTGGCTCAACACCACTGCCTGGCCTGTTGTTTCTTTGGGTAGTCTCAACATGTTTCAAATATGTTTGAGTCCCAACTGAAACCATCCCACTGGTCATTTTCTGGTGGTTTTTGTTTCTTTGTTTGCCTAAGCTTCTGGAGAACAAGTCCAGCAACCATTTCCACAGGTGGCAAACTGCTTGAGGAGCTCAAGAAGGAGGAGATTTGGGCGCCAGCTCGGCACCGGTAGTTTGGAAGTCATATAGAAGTTGCTGTTTGAGAAATGGCAGAAACAACTGCAGGATAAAATCCCTGGTTTCCTGTAAATGCTCCCTTGAGTCAACAGATGCTGGAGCGGGGTTGAAATTGTGGTATGGCCATGCCAGAAAAAATGATACACTGTGGACTCTGGACTGTGGATTCTAAAGATTTGGGATATTGGTACCACTTTGACAACCGGCACCACCTCGGCCGTTCTGAATGAACACGAGATCCTCGTGCCTGCCATGCAATCCATGGACCGGGTATGACCGGATATCCCTTGGATTCGCCATATTTCGCTCTACTTTAGTACTTCAATCCTGGTTGGTGGTTTCAAGATGTTTCAAGCATTTTTTATGACTTTCCATATATGTGGAATAATAATCCCAACTGACGAACTCATATTTTTCAGAGGGGTTGAAACCACTAACCAGAATGTACATGAGGATACTGTATTTTGACCCAACCAGTTAATTATCTTGAGAGTATCTAAGCTCGGCCATGTGACTATATGAAGCAAGGTTACATCCTGGCCGTGACGCGGGCTACACGGGATGGTTTCCCAAGAACCAAATGGGACACACCCCTGAATTGATCGGGCCGCAAAAAGCATGGCATTTCCAGTTGAGCTTTCACATCCATTTCTGTCGCGATTTCAATCCTTTTTTTTTGCATCCGCCCTCATGCAGGGGTCCGGATATATTCCGGAAATTAGAATTCACGATGGATCGAAATGATGGTTGCATAGATTCTTAGATGTTCCCAGGACAGGTGATATATGTTGGACAAAGATCATAACTCTTCCCACTATTTGATGATAAACTGGATCCATTTAGCGGGGTATACCCCGTCTTTAGACACACCCATACAAGGTGGTGCCCCCCAGTTATAAGTTGGTTTGTAAGCCCTAGTAACTATAGTTATAAGTACCATAAACCATAGTTATTGGAGTTATAAACCAACTTAGCTATCTTGGGGGCCTCACATTGTAACAATTATACATGGTCCCTTGTTATATAAGTCCCATCAAAATAAAACGGATTAACCAACCATGTTTTGGTTGCCGCCACGGCAGGATACCGAATTGATGCTCACCCTGTTGCGCTACTGACCGATCAGCGATCTGCCAAGCGAAAGAAAGGGTTGCACCCAAAATGTGACTTGCCAGAAATGGATGGTGTTGATAGATGGTTATCCCATTATAATCCCATTGTTTATTATGTCTGTCATAATTTCCAATAGTTGCCAACGGGTGCAGGCTTTTGTCCATCCACACTAGCTATGGAAAATCACTCTTTCAATAGGTAAGCCAACCATAAATGGGCAATTTTCCATAGCTATGTTAGTTTATTAGAGCGTAAACCATCCCCAAAAAATGTTGGGTTTATGGCATTGGGTTTGCCACTGATTTTACCTGGAGAAGATGATTTGATGATTTGATTGCATGTGATTTCCCACTGCTTGGGGTTTCGACGGCTCATCGAGTGAATATCCCGTCTCAAAGGATCATGGCATCCATGGCATGCTATTTGGTGAATGGAGGTAGCGGTGTGGAGCGTCCTGGGACTCCATATTCCCTATGCACCAGATTCGGGGAACGAATGGGGAAAAAAATGACAAAACAAGGTGCTACCAAGAGTTTCCCAATCACTGGCTCAGCAATTTTGCTCGAGAAATATCGCGTCCGATGAAATGTCTGAACTGGTTGGCAGTTACAAAAGTGATTTGTGCAAAGTTTCACGCCTTCGACTGACCCCGCAACTATAGTGTGGGCAAACTCAGACTAGGGGAACCATCAAAACAGTTTGTAATAATGGGAGTTAAATGAGTTAATTAAATGATATACAGGCTATACATCATCCAGAAATATGAGATGCAATCCCCAAAGTTGCTTATTTCAGCTTGGTGAAGTATTATCATGTGCCGTGCGACAAGAACATGGGAGAATACACCCAAGAAAAATAACTAACCAACTGGTAGACTAATATGGCAAGGTCTTCCTTTAAGGTACAGGTAGAATCAGCAAATCTCAAAAACAAAAACAAATTTCTGTACGGAAAAAAATGCGGACAGTCAATGCATTACAGTAGAACCTGTGGTTTCCTGCATGTTTAACGAAGGCGTTACAACACTTATTTCAAGATTTTTACCTAATTTAGGACAGTGGAGTCACGCCTTCGAGTCCTTCGAGGAATCAAACCTGGCAATTCTGATAATCGCAATGGATATGGTGACACGTTCATTAAAAGTGCAATGGATTAACTGGGTTTTCTCAAGGTGTTGGTCCTGTGGTGCTGATGTTTTCCTGAAAGTAATTAACTGGTGTGTCAATCCAGGCCTTCTATGAACTCAGGTGTCGCGTCGAAATGTCTGAGATGATCCTGAACAAGATGTTAGGTGCAGAGACAGAGACCCAATCTTTACCCAAAAAGACTGTCATCTGCATCCGACCCTTACAGAGAATTTGATGAGAAAGGTTTGAACTGTTTGAACCCTACAATTTCAGTGGATGTTTGGTCTATGAATTGCCACGTGGAAGCGGATGCAAGAGACCAAGCAAAAACAGCGATGTTATTGCCTAAGATTGTGATTCTGTGGATGGAAGAACTCCCGCACCAGTTGGTAGATGGTTTATCCCGAATCCCATTGTACTACACCTGTATTTCATAGTTACCAATAGTTACCAACTGGTGGGTTTCTTCCATTGATGCCCAAGGAGTTGAGGTAGAAAACCCCTATCGGGATGATGTTCGCCAGTTGCCATCTGTCCAAAGATGATTATAGTCATCCCCAAATAGATGGAAAAGATATGAAAAGATTGAATCCCTACTAATTTGATGGTGATTCACTTTTCCATCTATTTGGGGATTACTGGGATTACTATAACTATATCAAGATCTGTCAAGTGAAGAAGTGGCAGTTTCGACACAGATACATATTGGCACTTTCATTCTTGAAAGTTCTGAACGACTGCGATCAGAGGAAGCGTCTTTGCACCCCATATGCCATTTAGCCAGACGATCAAAAACATGGATTCTGCAAGCAGCAACGTCAGTTGCAAATGAAGCAAATGTTTGGTAGATGAAACACACATACATATCATAAATATAATTCAATAGAATGCATGCATACTTTTTCTGTCACTCTCTCTCTCTCTCTCTCCCCCTCTGTATATACATTCATATATATATATATATATTCGTATATAAATATTTATATATATGTGCATGAAATATCACAGGTTGACACAGGCTGCCCAAAGATGTTACTTACCAGGGTATATAGGTTCAATACGTGACTATTGGTGTTTATATATATATATGTGTGTGATTATATATATTATCATATATATATATATTTGTATATATTTATAGTCCAGCTGTGCCCTACCTGGATGATTTCTCACGGTCAGTATAGCCCAGTTACAAGGTGATACGGGTGACCCAGGGAACTGCAGGTCCAATGTGGGAAACCCGCTGCCATAAAACTACCATGACTGGGGATGGTTTCTACGACCCATAAACATGCTGACTTTTGGAAAGCTTCATTTTTGGGTTTACCAGACTCCTATGTTCCCAACACTGAACCGACCCATGACTCAAGCAACTTTGCTAATGTGCCAGCAGCAATCTGACCGACTTAATTATCATTCCAAGGTGCTTCCTTGCTGCTGGCCAGTTCTACTTTTTCAAATCAATGTTCCTAAAAGGAATATTAACGCTGAAGGCACCACGCGGTGCATCTTTGTACGAACAATTATGCTCTGGGAAAAAAATATTAATGGATGGATCCAGATTTTATAAATATAATATAGTCTATATAAATATTAATTTTAAATATATGTTTAAATAATATGATTTAATTTAATTTATAAAAATTAATAAAATAATTTAATGGGTTTTAATATAATATAATTATAATAAAATATAATATAATATTATATTATATGTATTAATTTAATATAATTTCTAAAAATTATAAATATAATAATACATAATATATTGGTAGGGTATATTAATGCGTTATTGTAAAATTGTTTGTTTTGAGGCCTTGATTTTGAAATTTTGTTTTAATTAAATATTGGGGATATCTATATTTGTATATTTATATTTTCTTACTTTTTTAGGACTAAAAACATGTTTTTTTTGTAATATATATTATATTTTAATTTTTATGGCTTGTAGTTTGTTTCGAAGCCTGTTTTAAGCAATTTTATTTTATATTTTTATATCCTTATACCTTGGAGATGTGTTTTAAACCCTGCCTTAAAATTTATTTTATTTTTAGAAATTTGTTATTTTGATGTAGTTTCCATGATCTTGAGGCTTGGAGGCCTGCCTTAAAATATTTTTTTTGCGCTAATTGCGACCTAAAATTCTAATTAATAAAATATTGAAAATTCTTAATTTCTTTAAATTTAGCCCTATTGGGATTCTAATAATAATTTGTTTTGTTTATATTTTAATATGTTTTGTGTTTAAAATATTAAAATATTTCGAAATTCTTCGAATTAATTTTTAGCACATGGAATAATGTTTCTCAAATATTACGATAGCAAAGAAAAGATTATGATTAAGATAAATGGGTATAAGGGTTTAATTTGGATTTGTTTAAAATTAAAAAAAAATGGTGGAAAAATAATATTTTTTACGATTTTTAATTATAATTTAAAATTATAAATAATTTATAAACATATTATAAAACGAAA